TATTTTTCTGTTTTTACCATGATGTTCCCTCCCCCGGGAATGTGGCTGGTGTTATCCAGGGAGCCGACCTTGGCATGGGCCTTATCTTTGAAATCCAGCTTCACGCTCTCAATACGGACATGTCCTCCCCCTGGGAAAACAACAGCGAGAGGCGGAAACAAAAGAAACCCGTCAGGGCCTTAACACAGAGTGGGCCAAGCTTCCTCTGAGGCTGAAACTCAGGACAAGAAATCCCAAAGCAAATACAGGATACTCTTCTACAAAACAAGGCTCGATGGAAACAGTGTCATTAAATACCTGACTGAGCTGTTTATGAGGAGAAATATAGGCTTTACACATAAAATTGGTGGCTGTTAAGCTAATGATTGTTTGTACAACTTATGTTAAACCCTGAAGGGTTGGAACGACTAAAATATCACTATTAAATAATAAATAAGACTCTTTCATCTTGTATTTGGTAGTTTTAAGCCCTGTTCCCTCTGGGTTCTATTTAACACTCTTAAAAGGCAAACCCAGGATGCTTATGATGTTTGGTTGAATAAAGTATTTTTTAATCCAACTGAACTGAATTAATCTGGAAGCTTACATACAGCACAACTAAGACACCCGAAAAAAACTACTGTACATGTGTTTTCATATGAAACAAAATATTTCAAATGAAATTAGAGGAACAACTTACGGAGCCCCCTAGGGGACATGAGGATTTTTTTTTTTCTTTTGCATTCCCTCGCAAAAGTATTGTGTTACCTCTCAAAACCTTTTGTGTTAACTCGCAAAAGTATTGTGTTACCTCTCAAAACCTTTTGCGTTACCTCGCAAAAGTATTGTGTTACCTCTCAAAACCTTTTGCGTCACCTCGCAAAAGTATTGTGTTACTTCTCAAAACCTTTTGCGTTACCTCGCAAAAGTATTGTGTTACCTCTCAAAACCTTTTGCGTCACCTCGCAAAAGTATTGTGTTACCTCTCAAAACCTTTTGCATTACCTCGCAAAAGTATTGTGTTACCTCTCAAAACCTTTTGCGTCACCTCGCAAAAGTATTGTGTTACTTCTCAAAACCTTTTGCGTTACCTCGCAAAAGTATTGTGTTACCTCTCAAAACCTTTTGCGTTACCTCGCAAAAACTTTTGCGTTACCTCTCAAAACCTTTTGCGTTACCTCGCAAAAGTATTGTGTTACCTCTCAAAACCTTTTGCGTTACCTCAAAACTTTTGCATTACCTCTCAAAATCTTTTGCGTTACCTCGCAAAAGTATTGTGTTACTTCTCAAAACCTTTTGCGTTACCTCGCAAAAACTTTTGCGTTACCTCGCAAAACCTTTTGCGTGAGAAAGCAAAGCCTTACTTCGGTAAAGTTAGATCGATTTTCACAGATTCGGACTTCCGGGATCAATAACTCTCGTTGTTGAAACACAAATGGCGCCTCTTTCATGTCCTTATAGCACAGACGACGTATTACAAGAATCAAAAACGGGGCTCTTGGTGATCGCACTACAACAGCTGGTTTGGAAAAAATACACCTTTTTATAACTTTTTGTGAATGAAGTACACAGAGATGCTAGGCAGATGGGAGTTCTTTATGAAGTAAAATAGGATGATATTAATGCTTAATAATAACAAAAAAATTCTAAAAAAATAAGTAAAGGTGTATTTTTCCAAACCAGCTGTTGTAGTGCGATCACCAAGAGCCCCTTGGTGTGTGTGGTGATTTTGTAGTCTCTGCACTTTATGGCAGTGGAGTTATTGATTTTTATTTGCAACGTTTTTCTGTTGTTTTACCATTTGCAGACGGTCCCTAACCACTCGCCTGGCCGCTGCCTGTGCATAGAGATCAATGAAATATATCCAGCTCGGAGAACGGCTCGTTTTTCTCAAAAATAACGCTTTTTGATTCTTGTAATACGTAGTCTGTGCTATCAGGACATGAAAGAGGCGCCATTTGTGTTTCAACAACGAGAGTTATTGATCCCGGAAGTCCGAATCTGTGAAAAAGGTTTTGCGAGGTAACGCAAAAGGTTTCGCGAGGTAGCGAAAAATTTTGCGAGGTAACGCAATACTTTTGCGAGGGAACGCAAAAGAAAAACAAATTCCCCATGTCCCCTGGGGGCTCCGCAACAACTAGATCTCAGGATAAAAAAAATTCTTTCAGTTTTGTTTTTTTCTTGCAGACTCAAGAGGCATTTCTTTAAGGATCTTGGCAAAAAAAAAAATGCATTGGTCAAGAGGAGGTGTTTAAATTGCAAAGTATTTGTAAAACAAAATAAAAAAATCAAAATCTTGCATCTGTCAAATAACATTTTGAAAGAAAATCTTATTGGAAACTTTAAATTTGTACAAAGATTTAGAAAAAAATATCAAACAAAAAAAAAGATCTGAAAAAAACTTCAATTTTGCATTAAAAAAAAAGCAAACAGCAAAGTTATCCTTGTTTGATTAAACTGTTTCTCAAAGTTTCATTTCTGGAATGCATCATTTTTTCAAATTTCACTCAATCACAATGTAGAGAAAAAAAAGTCCCACAGACATATCCTTGTGGAACTCCAAAGGTTTCATTTTCCCTTTTTAAACTAATTAAGAGCTGCCGATTAATATTCAGTAAAACACAGAAAACTTTTGATTTATCTTTTTTTTTTTTTTTAAGCACACTGTGAGTCACCTGGTCTGTGATGAATGTTGGACATGGAGCCACATTTGGAGGTGACATGGCTCAAGTCGATCTTCTTGGTCTGGATGTGAACCTGTAAGAGGCAAGGAGCCGGACTTAATGCTTAACGCTGACTTTACTTGTTTATTCATATGAAATGCAGTGAATATACAATATATAGCTTAGTGTAGAACAGGGAGGGAGGGGAGGGGCACAAATCACAACATGGATTTGTGAGTTTATGACAACTCGGATTGATGACATCACTTCCCCAGAGAGAGGTCAAAGTGGAAACAAGTTTAAAGCGGACAACCCTGCATGCTAAAGGGATGTTTCTTCACCTTTTTCATAAGAATGAGTGATTTATGGATTTACACTCCGTGGCACAAATCACAAAAAATAATAAATAACACAACAACTACACGTTATAGACATGCCCTGGACGTTTATCGTGATGACGGGAGGTTTGTTCTTTGGGGGATGAACTTTGCGCAGAGTCACTCACGTTTCCCCCGCCTGCCGAGTGGTGGACCTTATCCAGGGAGCCACATTTAGACTGAACGTGGCTAAAGTCCAGCTTAACGCTTGGAATCATGACCTATAAAATAACAGGTTGACTTTTCTTTTTTTTTCTTTTAGATCTTAAACACAAAGAACAAAAAAATATTGAGAGGTTCTAGAGCACATTTCTGCTTTTTTCACCCAAAATAGTCCTTTTAAAGTCTCATTTGAATGTTTTTGTTAGAAAATTCTCCTAAACAGCAAAAGTTCTGCAAGTTTGCACTGAAATTAATTCATATGTTGAATTAGATGACAGACAAAACAGATAGACACACATAAAAGCAGGATGTCGAAGCAATAAAGCTAGGAAAAAAAGCGAGAAAAAAGTGAAAGAGAGAGAAGAGAAGTGATTACATACATTGCCTCCTTTTGGCGTGTACTTCAGATTGTCCTTGGAGCCGCACTTTGACTGAACATGAGTGAAGTCCAGCTTCTCACTTAAAATCTGAACCTAAAATAAAATTGATATGGAAACGATGATGATAAAAATAAAATAAATAAATAAAAAAAATGGGTAACTTAAAGATTTAGGTCGTATCTGAGGCGGTTGGTGTTTCGTTTTAAAAATTTTAGATGAGAAATAATGAAAAAGTAAAGCAACAGAAGAGTTGATCAAGGGTTGAACCTTCTTAAACTGCTTATGATAATACAGAGGGTGGATGCCCAGGTTGATATAAGAAGTGGGGCGGAAAAGCATCATATATCACAATGAACCTATAAATCTATCAGTGAACAACTTTGATGTTGCTTTTTTGCGCCGGCACATCCTTTAACTCCTTTTCATCGTTTTTCCAGAGCGTCCAAGCAAATCCGTTCGCTACAGCCGACAGTTAAAATGTTTATAAAAACACATTTTCACAAACTGAACCTCAAATGAACTCAAATTCTCTAACCCAGTGATAACGTTTAGCTCTTGAAGCACATATTGACCAATAAAAGTGTCGTTGCTAACCTTCAGCGGACCGATAGAAATGGATTTTTGCTCCAGGAATAAAGATCCGAAAAACGCAACTTCAAAAGAATGCAATCAGTCAAAAACAGTTTGAAAAAGCCAAATTCTAAATATAAAATGGATTGAAAAAATACAATAATAGAAAATCTAATTAAAAAAATTTATATATATAAAAAAATAATCTAAATAAGATCTAAAAAGGTCCGAAAAACATTTTTTGAGCAAAGCTAATCGTGTGTAAAAGTGTGGAGCAAATTATCCTAGAATCAGTTAAATCGGCCAAAAATCCCAACGAAAAGCATCTGATCGCCGCAAAAACACACTTTAAAGATTCAGAGTGCTCGGAGTAAATGCTTCAAAGCAGATGTTTATATTTTTTTTTAACGCTAAAACATGTAGAGGTTAAATGAAGTCCTTCTTCATCCCCTGGGTCACTCTCGAGGGGTTTAGAGCAGAAGGGGATAAATCCTTGGCATCAGTGACGACAGAAGCTCCCAAAGGTTCGCCATTCTGTTAATGCTCCATGGAGCATAGGAACAAAAATTAAATAGGATCTTCTCAGATACATGGATGCTTTGAATTCTCTTTGTGTTGGATGTAGTAGCTGCTGCTACTGCAGTGAGACAGAAATGAAGAGATAAAAAAAAAGAAGCAGAGACGAAGCCTGAGGCAGCAGAAGACAGAGATGGCAGCGGACAGAGCACAGGACAGCGAAGCAGGACTGCAAAGGGAGGCCAGACAGCAACTGAGACTAGACATATGACATCTGCACGAATCAAACGGGGTAATAAGAACCCTAAGAAAAACCTTCACTCTAAATTCATTTATTAATTATAAAAAGGCCTTTTTGGCATCAAAGTTCTTCCAGATGCTTCTAAATTGAGAAGCCGCTAATAAAATGTGTTGATTAAAAGGATGACACATCAAATAATTAAATAAATTCTACCAAAACGTAAAAACAAATCTGCTGGCTAACCTTTTTTATGGTAAATTACATTATTTTCCATTAAACGCTTAGATCAAAACATGGTACGTTACCGCCCTCATGTGGCAGGATTTGGTAAAACCTAAAACTAAGATTTATAGTAAGAGAAATCTAACCAATATAAGAGTGCTTTTAATTTTATTTTTTAGTTTATAAGTAAATAAAAGAGATAGAAAACATATTAAAAACCATACATCATGGATAGCAAATCCTTGTTGCAGATCTCTTGGTGGGAATCAAAAAATTACTTGAAAAAAACCAAATGGTTGTATTTAGAACTCTATAATGCCGCTGAATAATTAGAAAAAGACCTTAACACCACCATACGATCTATATACCTGTCCTCCTTTTGGCTGATGCTTGAGATTGGCCGTTGACCCGACCTTGGATTTTACATTCTTCAGGTCAGGAAGAGGCTGGTTGATGACCTTCAGCTGCCGCTGAACCGACGAAGGAGACTTAGGCGGGGTCCGGATCACCGCCACCTTCTTCTCCTGGAGGACGCTGAAAGACTTGGGCGTGTGGCTGCCAGGGGTTCGTGAACCCGGGGTGCGGCAGGTGTAGCTAGGCGGAGTACCCGGTGTGACGGCAGAGCCAGGGGTGGAGGCCCCACTGCGGACTGAGCGGGACCGCGCCGAATCTGTGCCTTAAAGAAAAAGGCACCAACTGATTTGCATTGAGGGTGTACTGTTAACTCGTACATTAAAACACCTGTGGTTCTTAAACCTGAGAGAACATTGGCTTCTATCCAGAAAAAAACGTTGTCAAGGCAACAACAGGTAAAACTGGGGCCAAGTTTTCAAAAAATGTCATATTGGAGGTTGGGTGGTGAAAGGTTCACCTGCGAACTTCTAAGCTGCTTTTAAAGGTAAGGAACTGAAGCACTTCCGCTGTTTCTATAGTTGGACACAGATGTACGGAGGCCCAGAAGAGACATTAAAAAAACAATAAAATAAACATTTAAATCAAATAATTGGAAATGCAATTAGAAAAGCATTTTGTAATCGCATATTACCAATTAAATTACAATAGCGGAATTGTAAATTGAATTTTTTTTATTCATTATCAGACACAGCTAAATAAAAATCCATTAAATCCTACAGTATTTCTAAATGGAGATTTTGAAACCTCAATTTATAAATCTAATTATAAATATTGTCTCCTTATTAAATTTTCCCATTTTAATGTTCTTTTTCATCTTGCACTTTCAAATACCGCCTGAAAGACTCCATATTACGACGCCATCTTTGATTACGGTAGCAAAATGGAGACAAATTGTTATCTATATTTGTTTTGGCTATGTACTAGGTTAGTGTACATTCAGGCAGATCTTTTTTTTTTTTCATTTTAAATAAAAAAATATTTTGCCCTAAATAAAAAGAGAATTTATATGTTATGTTTGTTTGTGTAATTCATTTTATGGTTAGTGACAAAAAATCTTATATGCTGACTTTGTTTTGTATTGGTTTGATTGTCTAAACATGGAACCATGTATGTTCAGGTTTCATAGAACAAACAACCCCAGGTCAAACAGGAATATTTAAACAGTAAGCGGCTAAGCAGAGGTAGACCATGATCTTTATCTGTCAGCAGCTCGTTGCCAGGTTACCAGAGGGACAAAAAAAACAGGCGGGTTGTAGCACAGAAGTCGCACACCTGTTGGTTTGGATCCCACCTGTTCTTCTGGCAGCTGCAGCACTGACTGAGTCACAAAACTGAATAAACAAACCTGTTCTCTTTCTGATGTAAAAAAGATTCAAAGTTCAGTTTAGGTGAGGGAAAGCCTTAGAGGAACTACGGGGTGCTCTACCTGCCATACTAGGGGTTCTTCCGGACCTGCTGTCTCCTCTGGAGTCGGTTCGGATCGCTTTAGGAGAGAAAAGGCAATTTAAAGGGTAAAAATAGCAAAGGGGGAGGTTAGAAAGGAAGGGTTTAATTAATCCTTATGTGAGCAGGGTTTTTATGGAGTAAATTTTGTTCCATTATTGCTGCAAGCAAGGAACCCATTTTTGTAGATACAAATTGTAAAAACAAAAATATAAAACTGCAATCCACATAGCCCAGATTGAAGACTTTATATTGTGTTTTAATCAAACTAATCTAAGATTTTTTTTCTAAAAAAAAAATATATATATTTTAGATTTCATTTTTTCAAAGTTTTTTATTTTACAAATATATATCACATTTCTAAAATTGAATAAAATAAAAAAAAGAAATGAAAATGAAATTTGTTGCTATTTGTACAGCTAACTCAGAAAAAAAAAAAAAAAAAAACATCACAAAAAGAATTTTCAACTTCGTAAACCAATATACAATAAAAAGGATAAAAAAAAAATGTCATTTCTGAAATATTTTTTATTTTTTATATTTATACTCCAAAAACAAAACATGTTCTCTGCTAGCAATAATAATGGAACATAATTCACTCCATAAGCTATAAGTCAATTTTAGGGAGTGTAGTCTTACAAGTTGGCCTTGAGGGGGTGCTGTCCTCCTGTTCAGCAGCAGGAATGTGGCGAGTCAGAGACTTGGCCGGCCTGGGGAGGGATGACCTCTTCTCAGGGCTGCGGTACGTTCTCTCCTGAATCAACAGAAACATCAGAGTCAGTAATCTAGCACCCATCGAAGGAGTTACCTACATCTACAGCTCGGGCCCCTCTCTTTACTCTCTAATTTACCCATTTATTAGATGGAGGGGGTGGGCGGGAGCAGGCAGAGGAAGGGCGAGCTTCGCAAAGCATCGCCTCCACAAGGGGGCGCCGTTTAAGGCTGCAGGCGGAGCTCGGCCGGGGGGATCCCCCACCCCGCTGCACTGCCATCTTTAACAGAACAGCCCTGGTAGGGCTCTGGAGGTGGAAGGAGGCATGCAGGATGGAGCAAGGAGGAAGCGATCGACAGATGGAAAAAAAAAAAGCACGTCAATAAGAAAAGATAAAGTGGAAAAAAGGAAAAGTGATGATCAAAAGATGAGTGTAATGGCCTTGAATGAAAAAACAGTTTCCTTCCTAAAAAATAAATCTTTACTCACAGATTTTCTCTTTCGAGACAGAAACAGAGACACAAGGCGAGCATGCAAGCCGATGTGATCGCACAGACAGAAAGAAAACAAAATGAGGAGAAGAGCAGAGATTTTTGCAGAGAGGAAACATCAAGTGACAGACAGATCAGTGAGGAATAGAATATAACAGATGATGGAGTTTTGATTCTTTGATAACCAACGAACTGAAAGTTTCTCAGCCAGTTAATGGTGGATTTCCTGGTTTGTTTTTGGCTCATTATTAAAAATGTATATTATTATATGTATTTATGGTTTATAAAGTTAATTATATGCATTTTTAATGCTCAAGTTCAAGAATGCTGAGTCAAAGTCTGGCATGTACTATTGGGGAACGCAAAAGGGGTCTGAATGAACTTCTTTCCTTCCAATAACTATTAAGATTAATTCAAAGACGATTTAACAAGGACTGTTTATTTGAAATACCAGGTTATGACTCCCTTAATGTTTTTCTGGTTTGCACCAAACATTAATCGGATCCAGTTCATAAAAGTTTACATTCATCTGTCCAAATAACCTTTTTTTTAAAACTCCACGCAAACCTTCTAATAAAACTATATCTCTTTATATTCTGTCTTTTTCAGTACAGAAAATACAAAGAAATCAAAAATAGAGAGAGTCCTAGCCCACTGACCTTTTAATCTTAGTTTTAATCACAAACCCATTTCTTGTTATCCTAGTTTTAAATAAAGTAGTAAACTAGTAAAAAAAAAATTATTTGGTTGTTTTGGGACTAATTTTATTTTATATGATTGGGTCTGCATAGAGATGAATTGTCAAAGTGACATGAACTGAAGGGATGTTTGCAGTCTTTTTCAATATCATTTGTATTTTATTATATACATTTAACAACCCAAAGTCTACTGTTAGAAATGGACAAACCTGCTTGACAAAGCTGGATAATGATTTTTTAGTTACGTGCTATTAAGACAATACTTTTCTGTGCAGTTTAGTTAAGGGCTAAAGTCCTTTTTTTCATCTAATTGTTAATTTTTCTACATTTTGCAGGTATTAATTTCTTATATATCTTAACATAGTTGGATATGATGTATCTAAATGCAGTAGATTGAGCAACACTGACATTACTTACAGTGGGTCTCTCCCTGGAAGGCTGCGCCACGCTGAGAGGCTGATGGTGCCCCATGCCTGTGAGAGGAAAGTAGAAATACTCAACATTTACCAGCAGGGGGAGTCATCGTCTGATATGCACAGCTCGACATATACAGAGCACAGCATGTAATGAATGCATAGCGCCAAAGTAAAGAAAAAAAATAGCAAGCTGTATTTGTTTTATCATGTTTTATATGGAGTGAATTTTGTTCCAGGATTGTTGCAAAAAAACAGTAAATGGCAACCTGAAATAAAATTCAACCCTGATTTGTTTTTTTAATCAAATAAAAGGTTTTGAGAGTTTTTTCAAATGATTTTTATTCCTAAAATGTTTTTCTAATGTTATTTCTCCTATTTTGTTTTTTTAAACATTTAATTTTGTTTTTCTTTTATTTGTTTCTCTTTTTACAGATTTTATATTTTCATTGTTTTTTTGTTTTTATTGCAGCACTATTGGATCCTTATTATTCAGTAGTCTGAGAGGAAAAGGCGGTACAAGAGAGAGGGAGAGACATGCGGCAAAGGACAACAGGCCACGTCAAGGACTAAGGCCTCCGTACATAAGTTGTGCATGCTTTATTTGATTTCTTTTCATATTGATTTTCATAGATCACACATTCTCTTAATTTCAAGCCCAATTCAGTCGCCCTCTCTTGATGTGCACATTGACCGATGTAGTGCTGTTGCTAACACCCATGCAGACCAAGAAGGTCATTTTTAAGATTCAATCTGACAAACAGAAATGTGAAAATATAAAATCTGCATAAAATTTTTTGGGCATAAAAAAATGTTTAAGGAAAAAAAATGTAGAAATAAAATCTGAAAAAAATAGCAAACCTTAAACCTTTTTTTAAAAATTCAAGTAACAAAATTTATTTTTTTAAACTTTCCATTTCCAGAACATGTTCTCAGCTTGAAACAATAATAGAACAAAATTCATTCCATAGAGTTATGAACAAAAAAGTTTTTTTTTTTTTTTTTTTTTTTTTTAATTCAACGTCTTTTACCATGCAAGCCACCTTTAAACCACATACTTCATATGCAGTAGATTCAAGAATCATGAAAAAAGCAACTCTGAGCAGCAGTAAATAATCTTGATGGAAAGCATGTGTGAGTTTAGTCAGTTTTGACAAAATAAAATAAAAAAGAAAGCAATTATGGCAGTGAAAAAAAAACAAAAAAACAATGATTAAGCAGCACACCATGTTTGCCAGCTACATTGCCACAGCTTGATTCCCCAATGAGCCAAAAATAAAGAGAGATCTGTTTCTTTATTGATGCTACACTAGGTAAACGATCTCTCTCTATTCACGGCGCAGATACCTGGGGAAAGGTGTTCACCTGGGACCTTGCGCCTAGCCGGGCCGTGAAGCGGAGCGGGCCTAGGATGTCTGGCCGCCCCTTTGGCTCCACATTTTCGAGATGGAGAGCGACTTTGGAGGCCTAACCCCCTACTTTGGTCAACCCTCCTCACGCCTACTGGCGAAGAGGAGAGACATTATTACACCATCATGCACAACTCACTTTTTCTTCCACAAAACCTTTGTTTAAGATAAAGTTATTTTAATAATAACAGGCTTGTAAAAATACTCTTCAAATCAGGATCAGAACCTTTTTTCTTTATTATTTCCTCTTTTGGTGGATGGTAGGTTGGTGCTTTGCGTGGCATTTTGCATTCAGCCTTGCCAAGGTGGCCCCTTCCTTTGCCAGGAAACCGTTTAGCAGGGTAATCCACAGCCGTAGGTGCAGCGACAAAACCCTTGGTCTGGGGAAGGGCTTCGATTTTCTCAGTCATGATACTTTTGTCATCATCTGCAGCAAAAAAGTATCAAAAAGGGACTAATTCTCCAAACTTTTTTTTTATGTAGGCAAAAGGTTACACCAAGGTAAATAATCTTTCTAACGATACATAATGATATCCTTTAAAAATATTATAGAAGTGATAAAAGATACCTTGAGGGTCCGTCCAGCCACTGTCTGTATCCAGGATAGACACATCCACTGTGGTTTCATCATTAGTTACTAAACTGGTCTCTTCTTCACCAATCTCTACATTGGGTTTGACATCGTCTTCTTTAACCGCCACTTTTGTCTTGTTTCCATCATCTGGTTCCCCTTCCTCTTCCTTTGTCCCTTCCAGCTTTACTATGGGTAACTCCTCTTCCTTATATTCTTCATCACCTTCCTTTGATTGCTGTGGGAGGTCGTGGTCAGAACATGGAGACAGGTGCGAACTATCTGTCGCAGGCTCCCCTTCATCACTATTCAGTGCACTATGGCTCCATTCTTCAGCTCCAGACTTGGGGTCATCGTCCAGCATCTTATTACAGACCATCAGTCTCATTTGGTCCTGCTTTTCCTCCTCTATTTCAGGTTCACCAGGGATACTTTCCTCTGTTGTGTCTCTCTTGGAATGCAGAATCTGCTGAGGTTCTTCCATAATCTCTTGAGGCTCTTCCGCAATCTCAATGTCATCGTCTTCTTCGTCTACTTCGGCTTGAGGTATTACAATGATTGGAGACGATAATTGTGGCTTTGGGGAATCATTTGTTAGAGTTACCTCTGGTAATTGCATGCGTGGATTCTTGTCACCTGCTGGCTTTTCTAGGCTTAAATGTTGAGCACTGCCTGAGGGTGTTTGTGATTCTATCTCTCCTGTTCTTAAAGGCTTTTCTTCCACATTATCTTGTAAAGGTTCTAATGATGCTGGAGACTTGGCTGTTGTAGTTCCTTCTGGTTTGTCAGCTTTTTCTTCTTGACCTTTAACCTCAGGGTCTTTTACATCTTTGCTCAGCTGTAGTTCTTCATCAATTCTTTTGGCCTCTGAAGAGTTGTCAGGCTCTTTCTCAAGCCTCTTTCCACTTTGACTTTCTGGGTTTCCTTCAGCTGGGGACCTAGGGCTGGTAGGACTCAGGGGAACTCTACTTCCAGTTTCTGCAGAAGTGAAAGTAAATGAGTTGTCTGGTGGGATGGGTGAGGCCTCTCTAGAGGGGTCCTTTTCAACATCCACTTCAGGGATTGCTTGTATCTTAATGTCTCCAGGTAGGCCAGTCTCCAGACGGAGTTCAGTAAGGCGGTCCTTAGAGGTTGTCATTGGGATTCGTAAGCGATCTGGTTTTATACCACTAGTAACAGCTTTCTCTAGAATCAAGGAAGTCTTTACTGGTGGATCTTTCTTTTCCAACACAGGATTTTGAGAAGTCTGGATTATTTCTGTCAGACTCTTGTCTAGCATTTGAATATGACCAGCTTCGATTTCCAAAACACTTGCAGACTCTTCTTCAGAACCCAAAGAGGGAAAGTGCTGGTGTTGAGAATCCCCAGGACTTGGTACATCAGCAGGAGATGGCATGGGTGCCGAATATTCACTGAACACGCAGTAGCCAATGTCCTCTTGTTGATTCTCCCCTTCCACCTCTGTCAAGATTTGCTCTGATAAATTAAGCTTGTCAAAGTTACTGCCAAGGAGCGCACTGGCTGGCATTGATTTTCGTCTCATTTGGTCCTTCATCTGTAGAGGTGGACGAAGTGGGAAACCGGCCAAGTCTAACATGTCAGACAAGCTTTCTGATTGTTCAGAGCTGGAACCATGCTCCTCAGTATTATCTCCTTCCTTTGTTTGGATGCTGTCAGAAGTTGTAGGTGTTGGCGTTATGGAGACAACAGGCAGAAATTGTGATGTGTGCACCTCAACAAACGGGGTTAAAGGAGGAACATCTGACCCATCAAAACTTCCACTTATTGGACACAAGCTTTCAGAGAATCTTCTTGACTTGTCAATTTTTACGGTTGGTTCCGTTGAAGAACCTCCAGGAATGTTCAAGGACAGTCTTCGTTGGTCTAAAGATGCTTTACCTGGCAATGCCCTCACTTTTTTCTTCTCTTGTTCTTCAATGCTATCGACACCTCTGTCATGCTCTATACTTGAAATTTTCTCAGAGGTCAAATTGAGTTCATAATAGCTTTCTGATGTTGTCTCGAAGTAGGTTTTTGATCCACAGTATTTGTCTTTATCCAATCCTTCTGTCAACTGGACTGTTTCACTACCAAGCCCACCTTTTTCAATGTCAGCTTGCTTGTTGCTCTGATACGTTACTTCCTCTTTCTCCATTTTTTCAATGGTTTCATTCAAAGAGGTTTGAGATTTATTGGGTAACATAACTCCAGGATTATCTTCCATCTGAATACTTGATACTTCTTCTGCCATTGTTTGGTTCTTGGCTTCAGACTCCAAAAGCTTGCAGCCATCTGTGGATCCTTCTACGAAATCTTCTTTCCCTTTATAATCATGTTCAACCGAAGAAACTTCAGAAGGATCTTGAGTTGAAGTATTGGGTAAGGGAAGTGTACTTAAGGGAGGTTCTTCTTCAGATGCTCCAGGACATTCACCTTTTTGCACATCAGACTCGCTAGATGCCTTGCTCTTCTCCGCCAGCTGAGCTGTGAGTTTAAAGGATGCTGTACAACTCTGAGTTGACTCATGTTAGCAAAAAAAGAAACCTTTGTCTGCAGCATCCACAAAAGCCACCTCATACAGTCAAGCTGAGGCTTTCAGCACATAGATACTCTCCATCAAGCAAAAAAAAAAAACACATAGCACAGTTTATTTTGTGCCAGGCCACAAGAGCAGGAGGGGAGGTCACAGCGTCTACGATAGCGTGCAGAGCTGGAACGAAGGAATGAGTTGCGTGATGTTAGATGACAATAAACAATGGTACAACAAATTATTGAATTCCTATTGCAATAAAAAACAGATTTCTAAGAAATAGGCAATATGACGAATAAATGTAGTATTGCTTATTTGTTAATGACGATCAACATAAGTGTGTTGAGGGTGAAATATTTATTAGTATGACTTTAAATATTCAATGAGAGTGAATTTTAAAGATTAAATTTGTTTAGGCAACAATAGGAAAACACATTTATTATTTATTGTGAGATGATATGAAGACAACTACAAGGTATCAAGCAAATGGTTTACAACAGACTTCGAATGCATTCAGCGTTTATCCGTGGCATAATCAGCAGCTTCTTCAATCACAGTATTTCAGCAAAACCCACAGGAAAAAATATACAGAATACAATGACAATTTAGACAGTGAATACTAGCGTTTGCAATGTAGCTGGCAATACTAAGGTGCAGAAATGATCAACCATGATATGGTTGATTATATGCTCATAGAAGCAAATGGTTATGTTTTGCATGAAACAAAGCACAAAATGCTACGTCACGTCATTATTCGACTCAAACAACTGCAGCAGAAGCTCACAAAATTTCAGAGCAACAAAGCAGCAGGGAAAGTTTAGCAGGAAAAAAAGCCTGAGCTGCAGTACAATTTATAAAACCCAACATGGACAGCTTCTGTACCCATCGCAGATAGGGCTCGAGAGATTCATGCACAGTTGGCCAAATGCAGTCACACAGTCACACATTTTCACAGATAGAATAGATTGTTCAAACGCCCGAGTTGTTTCCAAAACCACACACACCTTGTTGTGTTGGGCTCTGTTCACCTTGGTGATCTCCTCCATTGATGGCCTCAGGAGTTTGGACCTTCTGGATGCCCAAAGCCTGGGGCTCCCTTACACAATCTGTCTGCTTTAATTGGAAGTCTCCAGGTTGTTCATATGCCACTTCCTCCGGTTGTGCTTTTTGACTGACAACCTCTACTTTTTCCTCTTAGAGCAGGAGGAAAGGGAGACACACAGATGAGACATGGGTGACATCAAAACTAGTGTGAAATGCTTAAGGATTATGGAGATTATGGAGATAAATGTATGTGATTTTTTTCTGTAAACAACCGTCTCTATAGTTGATCCTTGAGATGAATCTTGATTCAAGAAGACACCAGTCTGTCCAATCATCTACAGGTTTAACCTTACAGAAGATAGACTTAGGGCAGCCGAGGACCTGTATTTACTGTCCTCTAAGAGCAAGACGCTGATACTTTGATGAATTGTCACCTCACAAACTCACAAAAATATATCTTGTAAGAAACCGATAGATTCATTAGCCTCAAATGTTTCTAACTAATGAAACACAATGACCTGTATGACTTCAACCAGAAGTGGCTGGCTGAAGCGAAAAACACATGGATGCACTGTTGGACTTTTATTTATTCTGCTATTCAGTCTGTTTTAGCTGGAATACCCTCTATTTCTTTGTGAAAAACCTAGCTAAAAGACACGATTTTTGCCTTTCTGCGCATTCCTTACAACCAGATCTGATAAGAGTTGGAATAATCAGTTAATTCTGCTAGTTATGAAACAAATCAAGTAGTTAATGTTGCCTCAGTCGCGACCAATTGGCTGAAGCTGAAAACCTGGGCATTAATTGCCACCAATGGCAGACAAGTCGATTACCAGCTTGTATTTGGGAGATCGGAGTCATGGCTGGTCAACTCTACATGGAGAAAGATGCCTTCATTCGGGAAAACGTGGTGGATAGTGTATATGCCACATACAATTGGTTCCAGCTTGAAGAAATGTCACTCTTTTTTCCACTGGAGCCTTTCCAGATGGATACTGCCTGGATTTCATCACATGTCCATCTCTATGCCAGGTTAAGATATTGAGATTATTGAATTAATGAGGCCATGTGCTTATGAAGTACGTTTTGTTCTGTACTTGTGGCAAAGAACACGTTTTGTATGTTGAAATTGGAAAACTAAACAGGGCTTTTACTGTATTGTATTTATATAGAAAATAAATATTTCTTCAATAGTCTATTGTTACAACTAATGTTGGATCCTTTAAAAACTGCTTGTTTCAGCTACTATAGTCTTTGAGTCTCTATGGAAACTGAATCTGTTCCTGCCTACCTGTTCAGGCCGATTGCACCTTGATTTAGTACCGACATCAGTTTGGTGGAGGGGCAAAATGAATGACAACAAAATGGAGAAACCGATGGATGGAATGAACAAAGGAAAACACAGTGAGGTGTTGACGAAGTAAAGCTGACTAAAAGACTGGTGGGCTCCAGAGGATTTGAAGAAGGAGAGTAAAAGGTTCTAATTGGATTATAACTCCGAGTATTAAATTGTTGGAGTAAAGTTGGTCAAAAGGACCAAATGGTGAGCAGAACCAGATAAAGTGGTAGAGAACCAGTGGAGAACATCTGTGCCTTTTTCACTACCTTTCACATCCTGCATGGTTGGAAACAGGCTGTTTTGTACAGAAATATGTACCTTGTGCCACAGGCCCAGTCTGCTCAGCGGACGGAGAGGGGGGAGGGGAGGGAGGCAAGTTGGCCGAGTCATCCACTGCAGAGGTAGAGAGAGAGAGAGGGAAAGAGGGGACACAGTGGGAAGACGAGACATGGATGGAAGAAGTGATGTGAGTAAATCTGCTCACCTTGTCTCTGCATTATACAGCCACTCTCAGGACAGTTTGTGGGCTTCATTAGCATCATTTCTTTCACTTCACGGATTTATCTCTTAAGGTTTTACAAGACAGGCTAACTTAAACTGGAGCTCTAAATGGTGGAGCCGAGAGTAAAGCCTCTCCATATTAGACTTATTCATGATTTAAAATCTGAAATGTGAATGGCCAAGTCAAAGTCAGGATGTGATTCTAGT